GGGGTCCCTTCAGCGGGCCGGGGAAGCTGGTCTTTGCTCTTTGAGGGGTGGTGTTTGCCCCTGCCCAGGCTTTGTGCACGCAGGGCCGGGCCTTCTCCCCCCGCGTCTCGTAGAGCGTGTCGGGGCTGGATCGACGGCCCAGGCTAGGCCTCGCCTTCCTCCCGGGCCTCGGCCGGCGGTGCCGGGGCTGCCCACCGCGCTGCGTGGTGGGTTTATGGGAGCGGGGCTTCCTCTGCGAGCTGCGCTGCGGCTGCTGGTGAGGAAAACCGCTTTTTTAAAAACATCTTTAATTTAGAAAAAATGGGGTGCGGCTGCTTGTTGGCCTACTTTCTAGCTGATGGACTGTAAAGCATTGTAAAGAAAGCATTTTGTTCAAGGTATTTTGAGGGTGAGTACTTTTCAGCAGCCGTAATCTAAATTGTGAAAAAACAAAATCTATCTGCATAGTTAGTGGATTTGAACTTAGCACATTTCAGTAGTATTTATCACTGCCAAAGCACTCGGGCTTGAGCTGTGCTCCAAATATCAGTAACAGCTGAATTTAAATCCCCTTGCTGCTTTCATGAGGCATGTGGTAGGTTCTCTTGTTGGAGAACTGCATTAGGGCTGCGGATGAGCTGCCTACCAGAGTATTAGATACTAAAAAACCAAAGTGACTGCCCCCTTAGAGTTTATCTCTGTCCGAGTGGTGGCAATCATAATGAGAGGACAGAACCTTAATATTTTTTAAGTATGTGGGACTTCCGTAGAGTGATCTTGGGCTTTTATTGCCAAGTATATGGTATGTGTCTGTTTAAAACAAATTGGGGGTTTCATCTTGCTGATACTGGAAGCTTAGGAACTGTGGCAGCATTGCTAGATGCGATACTAAACAAGACATTTGGGTGCCATCTTGACTGCTAGTGGACTGTATTTTTGCAGCATTACTCCTGCCAGTGGTAAAATTTTCACTTCCTAAGATGATGACTTTTCAGTAATGATGAGTTAGCATAACTTGCTGATTAATTAAAACTGCTGTATCGTGGCAGTGGCTTGGCAAATTTGTTAAAAATGCATTAATAGAATACCTGTTACCTGCCCATTTTTTGATTCCACCAAAGGAGCAGGATTGCAGGGGTTTTTTTAATGCTTAGTCAAGTAAGAGCAAGATCTCTGTGCTGTTTGTTAAATCTGGTTCTCGTGTCTTGCAGATTCTCTTGATCTGAAGATGGCTGCACAGTCAGCACCGAAGGTTGTGCTAAAGAGCACCACCAAGATGTCTCTGAACGAGCGGTGAGGAAGCCAACAGCAGCTTCAGCTCATAAGAAATTTTTTTACTTAATTATCACTGTCCAGTGTCCAAAAAACCAACATGGTTTCTGCCCTCTTTTAACCTCACTAAAACAAGCAGATGGCTATGCACCTCTGTCTTAAACTGCAACAAATGTGGTACACAAGGTTAAAAGGGCAAGTGTTTTGGAGAAATTTATCCATAGCAGTTAATATTAAACTATTCAACACATAAATATGGTGGGATGTGTTATAACAAAAGAGAGAAACCTCACACCCTCCCTTTTTCTTCCACATGTTTTTACATTTATATAGTTGACACTGCAGCATGGTAGCATGTTACCTAAGCTGCAGCAGGCTTGCTGCTTTGTCCGAGGCAGACACACGTGCATGTGGTCTGGCCTGTAAGAGGCATGCAGCAGGCCATTAAACAAGCCCAAAGGCCCTTTAACAATGTTTTGGGCCTTGTAAGAGGCAAATGCTTTGCTTCATCTCCATCTCTCTCTTTTCTTGATTTCTTTGTTTCTTCTGTCAAGTTCTGTTTTTCCATACCATTGAGCTTTTGCGGTTCTACAGTGACGACAACTAACAGTGGCGATGCAGTTATGTTTTGCTTTCTTGCTAATCGCTGTTGGATTAACTATGTTAGTATCATTGGACCAGGGATAAAGGGAGCCATTTGCATGCAGTTCCTGCTCTAGCAAGTGGTGCAGTGAGATGTAGCCTGAACCGGTGCTCGGAGCTTACTTCAGGAAAGAGGAGCGGTGAGATGCAGTGCAGGGAAGGCTTGCTGGCCTGTATCATTTTGGTCAGTCCATATTCCTCATCTGTAAGTGTTTTCTTTCGCAGTCTTGTGTAGCTCTCGGGACACAGTAGAAGGCTGATGGGTCACTGCTAAGGAGGCTTTCCATCTTGCTGTACATTCTGCTCCTATATAGCTCTTAAAAGACAGAAGATAGTTCGTGCGCCATAGAAATTAAGTGAACTGTTTTTGTAAGTGAGCGCACTTGGGTGGTGGCGTATCTTATGGAAGCAGTTCTGTGGTGCGCCAGAGGCACGCCAGTCTGTTCCCAGGGCCGATGTCTTCCATAAAGCTGCCTTCTGGCACTGGGTTTTTAAACAGTTTTCTCAGCGCTTTGAGGGTTAATTTGGCTTTTGCAGTCAGACTTCAGTTTGCTTTTCTGTTTCTGTGATGTCCTCTCCCATCTGTCATGATCATCTCTGCTTATTGCTTGTTTTCATTCCTTCTGCCATTTCTGAAAATCAGTAACCTAAAGCTTTATCACTTCTGAATTAATATAAACATCATTTCTGAGTTTCCAGTTCTTGCACACTTGTGGAAAACAAGGAATACGTAATCGCATATGACGTGACCTAAGTACCACTCTTTACATAAGGTTCATGGGATCTGGAGATCCAATCTTGAGAACCATGAAATGCCAGTAAATGTATGTAATAAAGCTTTATTTAAACACCCATTTTATTCGACCTTGAAGCTTTACTAACATGCTGAAGAACAAACAGCCGATGCCAGTGAATATTCGGGCTACCATGCAGCAGCAGCAGCAGCTAGCCAGTGCCAGAAACAGAAGACTGGCTCAGCAGATGGAGAATAGACCTTCTGTCCAGGCTGCTTTGAAGCTCAAACAGGTGAGAGAAAGTGGCGTATTCTGGGGCAGCTTGTCGATGCCTGTCACCAGAAAATGGATTTTCAGGATATGATGGATTTTGAAAAATGCTCCTGAAAGGTAAAAATGAGAGACCTAGAAGGGACTTGCAGAAAATCCCACTTTTTACTCCAGATAAGTAATGCTTTGTAACTTACTGGTTAATAATTGAGTTGGGTTTTTTTTTTTTTGTGCTGCCTGTTCATCTCTCCTCTCTATTTTTTCAGAGAAATGTTCTCATTCTGGGTTTCTGGATCTGCCGAGTGCTTCATCTCGCAATCTAGCTGCAGTTACAATTGCTGCAGATTTGTTTCCAGTACTTGCTATCCATTTGAGGCTGGTTGCTCCCTTCCCCAACTCCACCCTCTCTTGGTGCACTCCCTTGGTAGCAGCTGGCTGCGAGGGACAGATGAACAAACTGATTTTTTTGATTGCTTGCGAATGCTAGAATGCAAGCCTGGATTTAAGGCATAGTGTTGCATTCTCCTTATATAAAGAGTCTTTATCGTTCCACATTTCAGTGCTGAGTACTACAGATTATGGTGTGTTCCTCAAATAGCCTTCAGTCAGTAGAGCAGAAGACCTAAGCAAACACACTAGATTTTGATTTCTCTGCTGCGGTCAATGTGCTGCTCCATAACTCTGGGCTTACTGAAAGGGCAAGGGGCAAAATCTCACTACAACAGAAGCATCGATAAGATACAGAAGAGAGCTGTTTGTCAGGGGCTTGCTCATTGTCAGCCTGCAGGGGTTTTTGCAAATTTTAAAGCTTATGTTCAAATGGGAAGGCTGGTAAGATGAGCTTAAAGCGTATGTGTAGGGCACAAATTGAAACCCGTGGGGTACTGCTGCACAGCTGTGCAGTAGTTAAATGTAATTCTTTACATTCTGCTTATGGGCGAGATAAAGCCCTGGAAATTTCTTAGCTGAGCTGCTTCACCAAATAGCTGGAATACTTAAACCTGCCACACATGCTCACATTCAGGGCTCACTGATAAAGAGGAATGCAGCTGCTTCTTAAGATCTCCTGAGAATTCTGTTGTAAAAACAAGACTGTGGTGCCAGTTAGCCTTGCAGAGCTTGTAAACAAAAGCTCTGGAAATGGTAGTCTGAATTTTTTTTTTCTGCCTTTAAAAAAAATTTTTTTGAAAAGAATTTCACAAGTGGTAAGTGAAACTGGATTGAAAGCATGAAGCTTCTGCTTGCTGAATTGAGGTGCCACAGACGAACAGGGAAGAACTTTTGGCTTAGCTGTTAAAGCCATTTGATTTGTATGTTTGGCATAGGTGTACTTTCATGGTCTTCTGGAATTAAATGCTGCAAAAGAGGGCCATGGGAGGGCATTG